GTCAGATTCTGACGTGGCATTAACGAGGCATTGACGTGGCCTTGGTATACATGCCCGATGCTGACATGGCATTGAGGTGGCATTGACGTTGCCTTGGTCCACATGTCCGATGCTGACGTGGCATTGACGTGGCATTGATAATAGCGCACGTCATATGCTGACGTGGCATCCACGTGTCATTGATATTTGGAGTGTGCAGTATCGCTGACGTGGCCGGTGGATGTTAGCAGATTGACGATGTGGCATTTCTGACTCACCATTCGGTGAGATAAGAGGCTGACGTTGCAGTGTCATATTTAGTTACCCGGCTTATGTGGCGTGTTGGTACTGCTCCTAACGTGTACCCCCTCGATGATGTTGACTGGATTACGGTGCTGACGTGCTGTGTTGGCACTCCAGGGGATACACGTGGCAGGTTGGAACTTCGACTTCGGGTCAGGCTGGTATTTCGATTTCAGCATACATTGCTGGCGTGCACCCCATTGATGATATTGATTAGACCTGCTGACCTGGCATACTCATCGAGTTGCTGAGTTGGCAGGCCAGGGGTGACACGTGGCACAGGCACGATCGTGCCTAAGTGAGGACAGCATTCTGATGATTGAAGCGGCACGGCAAGAAGACTGACCTGGCTGTGGTGCCGAACGTTAGATTGTGTGCTGGTCACACAGGACAAAGAAGGCCGAAACAGCAAGAAGGGGAAAACGCTAACTATTGATTGTGTTGGCGGACTTACCTGTTGTCTGGCTGTGTTGTGTACCTGTGTACTCACTTGTGTTTGTTGTTGATCATGCTGGCCTGGAGTTGCGGTACCTGAGATAGACTAGGATGTCATCACATTGAAAACAGAACAGCAAATAGAAATTAGAAAACTTTTGTTCCTTATCATGATTATTGCTTTTGACTCAGATAGAGTGTTGGGATAGGTGACCGTGAAATTATTGTCTTTTGCGGTAGAACAGTGTGCTGGCCTAAGAACGGTAGAACAGCGTGCTGATTCAGGTGACCGTGAGTTATTGTTTATTTTGTGGTAAAATAATGTGGCCAACGAATTTCGTGTTTCTGTTCTCTCAAGATGTCTTACTTCTGGAAATGTCTGCAACAGTCTATCTTGACGAGATTCCTGACTACTTTTCTGTTTCCTTTCCGATCACACTTTCCGTTGGGGAAGGACCGTCTGGACTCAGGACAAGGGAACAGGCTGATAAGAAGAGAGAAGAACTGTTGGCTTTGTGGAATCAGTTTCTGATTGAGGTTCAACTATCTGGACCGGATGCTGAGCAACACATCTGTGATAATTTCGATCTTCAGGGGGTTGAAGACCGCCTAAAGAAGTCTATCACGGTTGTGGAGGTTGTGGCAGCCGGTACAGAGGCCTCCAAACTGATTGCTCAGGGGCGACAGGCTCTAGACCAGCTTGCTTTGAAGCAACTGGAAGAGATTATGGAAGCTACTCGTAAAGGGGAGGTGAAACCAGAAGTGAGTGAGGAAACGACTGATGTTAACATCTAGCAGCTCAGAGATACTCTGGCTGCCGAAGAAAGAGAGAAGGAAGAATTAGTCAGAAGAAGAGAACAGGAACAGCGAAGGGGACAAAAGGTTAAAGAGATCAGACAAGTCATAGGAACAAAAGTTGGTGAACAGACTGACATGTCACAAACGTTGGCTCATATTGTGACATATCTTACCTTTCTAGAGGAGAAGATTGATAGACAGCAAAATCAGTTGGATGAAATCACTGTTGGTTTGAAAACGATTGCTAATATTGTGAAAGGTAAGAATCAGATTTAGGGAGAAGAAGAACAAGAAGAGAAGAAGGAGAAGAAAGAAGTAAAGAGTCGATGGGGGATGCAATAAAGTCTGCTGGTCCCGTGATAAAGACAA